ACCACAGTTTGCACACCCGTTGTGTTATGTTGCGTGTGCGGTGTGTTGTGTGTGTGATTGTGTGTGTTTTTGTGTATGTGTGTGTGTGTGTGTTGTGTGTTGTGCTGTGCTGTGGTGTGCTGTATGCTGTGTGTGTGCGTGGTTTTTCCCCACATTCTACGTGGGGTTATGATTTTCTGTACACCCGCGTCGCACCCGCGTTCACTCACCTCCCCTTCTCTACACCCGCGTCACACCTGCGTTCCCACCTCACCTCCTCCTTCTCGCTCGTACACACACCACACCACACACACACATTCGCACATACAAGACGCATGTTCACTGCATCATACACCCAAGACGTCTGCACGACATACTGGGCAACACGTGAGATATGTCCCGATATGGCCGCACACGCATCATACACATACACACGGCAAGCCATGCGGCAGGCGAGCAGGCGTGGCACTTCCTCGACACCATAAGGGGGTGCGCAGAGGGTGGTCCCTCAGCGGGGCCTCTATCCGTGACACGCTCGCAGGGCGTGGCAGGCGCGGCACTTTCTCGACACCACTGGGGGGCGCAAAGGGTGGTCCCTCAGCGGGGCCTCTATCCGTGACACGCTCGCAGGGCGTGGCAGGCGCGGCACTTTCTCGACACCATTGGGGGGGCGCAGAGGGTGGTCCCTCAGCGGGGCCTCTATCCGTGACACGCTCGCAGGGCGTGGCATGCGCGGCACTTTCTCGACACCACTGGGGGGGGCGCAAAGGGTGGTCCCTCAGCGGGGCCTCTATCCGTGACACGCTCGCAGGGCGTGGCAGGCGCGGCACTTTCTCGACACCACTGGGGGGGGGCGCAGAGGGTGGTCCCTCAGCGGGGCCTCTATCCGTGACACGCTCGCAGGGCGTGGCAGGCGCGGCACATTCTCGACATCACATGGGGGTGCGCAGAGGGTGGTCCTTCAGTGCGGCCTCTATCCGTGACACGCTCGCAGAGCGTGGCAGGCGCGGCACTTTCTCGACACCACTGGGGGGGCGCAGAGGGTGGTCCCTCAGCGGGGCATCTATCCGTGACACGCTCGCAGGGTGTGGCAGGCGCGGCACATTCTCGACACCACATGTGGGTGCGCAGAGGGTGGTCCCTCAGTGCGGCCTCTATCCGTGACACGCTCGCAGATTTTTTGACAGGAGTGGCACTTTCTCGACACCACAGGGGGTGGTCCCTCACCGCGGAGTGGCGCTTTCTCGATCGTAGCAGGAGAGGCCCCATACAGGCTGCGCAGGGGGTGGTCCCTCACCGCGGCCGCCATGCGCGACGGTCGTCCAGGGCATAGCAGGCGTTGCACTTTCTCGACACCATAGAGGGTGCGCAGGGGGTGGTCCCTCACCGCGGCCGCTGGCTGGCTCGAATCTGTCCCCGATGGAGGATAGAAGGCTAGGAATAGGGAGGAGGTTCAAGCAATATGGCGTTGGATGACACAGAGGGGAACATTCGCGACGAGGGCTGAGAACGCAGATTTGCGCGTATATGATAAGCTTAAGCAAGCACCTAAGCTTTAAATTACGTATGTGGGGTTCCTCTGTAGCGTAATTTGTTTGTCTGTATGTGTGTATGTGTGTATATGTGTGCTTTGAGGTGCTGTGCTGTGCTGTGCTGTGGGTGAGGGAGGAAGGAAGAGGATGGGGAGGAGGAGGAGGAGGAGGAGGGAGACGCGGGTGCGGCGCGTGTTGGAAGAAAACAAGAAGCCCACTAAGCACGTGGGGAAATACGGAGCTAAGATGCGAGAGGCCCTTGGCTGAGCGGCACAACACGGCAAGTCGCTTGGCGGATTCTCCTAACACGGCCGTTCCGCCACAGACATTATCGACACAATGACATATTCAAGGACGTGGTTTAAGACGCTTTACGTTAAAACTGAGGCTCCCGCTTGAGACATCTTCAGGACATGGGATCTCCAGGGATGTTCCCAATAAGCCATAAACCATAAGACTCTTCCTCGAGACATCCTCGAACCAATGGCATGGTGGACGACCTGCTTCAAGGGGGCTCTCGCTCGAGACATCCTCGAAACAACGAGGACGAGGACGCTGACGAAGACGAGGACGAGGACGCGGGCGAGAATGGTGACGAGGAGGAGGAGGAGGAGGAGGAGGAGGAAGAGGAGGGGGAGGAAACGTAGGAGGAGGAGAACGAGGAGGAGGAGAAGGAGGAGGGGGATAATGAGGAGGAGGACGAGGAATTGAAGGAGGAGGAGGAGGAGGAGGGGTGGAGGAGGATGAGGAGGAGGAGGAAAAGGAGGAAGAGGAGCAGGTGGAGAAGTGAAAGGACTTGGAAGAGGAGGAGGACGTGGAGGAGGAGCTGGAGGAGGAGGATGAGAAGGAGGAGGAGGATCACACCACGCCCGCAGCGCATGGCTGCCCATATAGGGCATACACGAAGTAAACAAAACACCACCCACACTAAACACAAATCATACGCACACCCTGCGCCCGTCCCGCTTGCCCGCCAGGCGCACCCTGTACGCACACCGTACACCCCCCCCCCGCCCGCCCGCCAGGCACACGCCCCGTGCGCACACCGTGCACCCCCTCCTCCCGCCCCCCTGGCACACACCCTGTACACGCTTGCGCACGCGCGCACACGCACACAGCGAAACACACACACACACACACACCCACACATGCACACACACACACACACATACACATGTGCACATACATATACGTGCAAACAAGCAGTGGTCACGCGCAACACCTGACCACAGCAACCGCAGGCGACCACTGAACACGAGCTAGCAACGGCGACCATCTCGGCATTTAGAGGAGCCCAGCGAATGTATCTATGTGCACACATGCGCGTTGGTTGCAAATCCATGCGCGCGAGCGCATGCGAGCTCAGGGAAACGGCGCTTCCCGTTCTTGTCCAGAGGAAACGTTCCCCCAACCACGGCCGTTTCGCCCGAGACACTTTCGACAACGTGAGATCTCCGAGGAGTTGGTTTAGGGCGGTACATGTTAAAAGTGAGGCTCTCACTCGATGCATCCTTCGAACACCAGAGAAACTCGGGGACCTTGCGAATTCGTCGAAGTCTTCAACAAGAGGCTCTCGCTCGAGACATCCTCGAACGCATAGGATCGTGAACGAGCTGCTTCAAGGCGTCTCCTGTTCAACATGGGGATATCGCTCGAGGCACATTCGACACGTTGAGATATCCAGGGAGCTTGCGTATCGCGACGGCCCAGGAGGGGCTCAAGTGGCCCCAAGACTGTCCAGGAGCGCTCCACGACGGTCTAAGATACATCGTCTTCATCACCACCGTCATGATCGCCGCACTTACCATCGTCGTCGTGGTCATCATCATCAGTATCATCAGCATCGTGCTCGTCATCACCCTCATCATCATCATCACCACCATAATCATCATCACCATCATCACCATCGTCACCATCATCACCATCATCATCATCATCGTCATCATCGTCGTCTGCATCATCGTGTACATAACCCCCATCGTCATCGCCTTCTCGGAACAAGGAGGTAAAGGGAGGTTGTTAGGATATTAATTTAAGGGGTAGTAACTAAAGAGCCAACTCAGGAGGAGGAGGAGGAGGAGGAGGAGGAGGAGGAGGAGGACGAGGACGAGGACGAGGAGGAGGCGGGGGGAGAAGGATGAGGAGGAGGAGGAGGAAAAGGATGAGGATGTTGAGGAGGGAGGAGGGGAGGAGGGGGAGGAGGGTCAGGAGGGAGAGGAGGGGGAGGAGAAGGGGGAGGAGGAGGAGGAGTTGGAGGAGTTGGAGGAGGTGGAGGAGGAGGAGGAGCCAATTCAGATACCAGCATGTTTGCTGCGGCCTCATGCTCAAATGTGGGTACGGTTGCTGCTGAGTGCGTTTGCTATCATGGTTTGGTGTAGCTGTTGGTAGCTGTCGAATTGTGGTTACGTTTGCTGCGGTCCTTCTGCAATTTAATTGTGGTTCGTTTGTTGCCCGCGGTAACTGATGTGGCCACGGTTGCTGCGTAGTGCGTTTGTTACCATGGTGTGGTGTAGTTGCATGTACTTGTTGAAATGTGGGCGCCTCATGTGTGCCAATGTCGCGTTGCGTGCAGATACGTGCGGGCGCGCATGCAAACTCAGAGAAGCGGAGCTTCCAGTTCTTGTCCGGATAGTCTGGTCAACGTGGCCATGTTGCTTGAGACAGCTTCTTACAATTGAGATGTTCGCAACATCGTCTTTTACAAAGCCAAGCGTTTCGCTTGAGACATTATTCAGAACATGAAAGTCGCGAACGTGACGAATCTGCCAACATGAGCGTTTCGCCTGAGACACCCTCGGAAACATGCGATGTCGACAGAGATGATCTAGTACCTCTTGAGTCAAAAACGACGTTTTCGTTAGGGACATCCTCAGAACATGAGCAGGAGCTCGGCAGATCAACACGTCTAGCACGGCTCCATCTCGCTGGGGACATCTTCAAAACAACCATATGTTCTCAACATTGTTTTGGTATCGTTTCTCAAGTGCGTCAAGCTGTTGATCCGTAGCCATTTTGGCTCAAGCCATTCGGGCTCAAGGATCCGACAGGTGAGCGCTCCGTGTTCCCGCATCTGTACTGAACATTTGTTGCTACTCTTCCAAACTATCATCCACTCAACGATGGCAAACATACTTGTTTTTGCGACGGCATCTGCGCTTGCTTCCCTTGCGGGCGCCGAAATACAGCTCATGCAGATGTCTGCATTCGGGCTGAACGGTTCAGATGTGGCAAGGGGATTGCATGAAGATTCCACGGCATGTAGTATTCCTACGACGCCTGAATGGTTCTCAACTTTATCTGGCTGCAACGAAAACGCCGATTTCAAATACTTACGCACTGCTAGTTGCACGTCCACCGAATGGAGAGCGACCATTCCTGCCTGCGTCGATGGTTCTGTGGGAGCCTTCATAGTCAGCTCAAGGGCCGATGAAAGCCCTTACAGGCACAAATCCGACAGAATGGGTTGATGGCAGCATCGTCGCGACAGTTTTCAATAACGTATTGCAAACCGTATCAGTGCCTTGGGATCCATCAAATGTGGAACTACGCGTCAGGTCCACCAGCTACAATTCTATCTACCATCACCACATGACCGTCTACCAAGTAGTGTTCGAGGCGTCACCGACGGCCTCGCCGACGGCCTCACCGTCACACGGCGACGGCACTGCAGCACCAACGGCAGCGCCCACGGCGACCCCGACAGCGGCACCAACTGCAGCTCCCACGGCAGCTCCGACTGCAGCACCGTCTGCCTCCCCGACGGCGTCACCGACGGCCTCGCCGACGGCCTCACCCACACCAGCACCGACTGCAGCACCAACGGCAGCGCCCACGGCGACCCCGACAGCGGCACCAACTGCAGCTCCCACGGCAGCTCCGACTGCAGCACCGTCTGCCTCCCCGACGGCGTCACCGACGGCCTCGCCGACGGCCTCACCCACACCAGCACCGACTGCAGCACCAACGGCAGCGCCCACGGCGACCCCGACAGCGGCACCAACTGCAGTTCCCACGGCAGCTCCGACTGCAGCACCGTCTGCCTCCCCGACGGCGTCACCGACGGCCTCGCCGACGGCCTCACCCACACCAGCACCGACTGCAGCACCAACGGCAGCGCCCACGGCGACCCCGACAGCGGCACCAACTGCAGTTCCCACGGCAGCTCCGACTGCAGCACCGTCTGCCTCCCCGACGGCGTCACCGACGGCCTCACCCACACCAGCACCGACTGCAGCACCAACGGCAGCGCCCACGGCGACCCCGACAGCGGCACCAACTGCAGCTCCCACGGCAGCTCCGATTGCAGCACCGTCTGCCTCCCCGACGGCGTCACCGACGGCCTCGCCGACGGCCTCACCCACACCAGCACCGACTGCAGCACCAACGGCAGCGCCCACGGCGGCCCCGACAGCGGCACCAACTGCAGCTCCCACGGCAGCTCCGATTGCAGCACCGTCTGCCTCCCCGACGGCGTCGCCGACGGTTTCACCCACACAGGCACCGACTACGGCGTCGACGCCAGCACCAACGCCAGCACCGACGACGTCATTGTCCTCCGCCACCGGCGATCCACACTTGCAGAACATGTTCGGTCAGCGGTTCGATTTGGTGTGGCCAGGCAAATCTGTCTTGGTCAGCGTTCCGCGCGGAACGCCCGTCGAGGATGCGTTGCTTGTTGTAGAGGCCGACGCGCGTCGATTGGGGACACGCTGCTCGGACATGTACTTCCAGGAGATCAACGCCACAGGGACGTGGGCGAACAAGGTGCGGCCTGGAGGCTTTCACTTCGACGCTCACGACGCGCGTGACGAGACGCCGAAGTGGCTGAAACTCGGGCTTGTGGAGCTCATAGTCGGCAGCGGTCACACCGACAAGGGGCAGCCGTATCTGAACGTCTACGTCAAGAACCTTCAGCGCACTGGGTATCGTGTCGGAGGGCTGCTGGGAGAGGATGACCACACGGAGGCGGCGGCGCCTGAGAAAGGGTGCCAGAAGATGTTGTCCCTCGAGGCGTGGTTGTATGGTCAAGCTTCGGATCTAAAGGGCTCCGTCGCAATTGGCTACTGAGCCGAGGGCTCCCAGCTCCGCGCGGGCGAGTCAGGCGTAGCGTGCTGCCGCTTGTTTGAATCGATGTCAAGCGTGTGCGCGCCTCGACTCCGTGGAACCGCGTTCGGCCGTCTCTGTTGCAGACGGTGGACGGAGCAGGTCAGGGTGAGCAGGAGGGATCCTTCGGAAAAAAGAAGTGAGTCAAGCTGGTGAAGCAAGAGCTCGCAAAGGACTTCAAGATGGCTCCCAGAGCGCCATGAGGACTGCCGCACATGCCGATGCCGCCAGGGACACCTTCAAACAAAATGACAAACACGATCTGCCGTGCTGGTTGGTATGCCGTGCTGGTCTGCCATGCTGGTCTGCCGAGCTGGTCTGCCGAGCTGGTCTGCCGAGCTGGTCTGCCTTGCTGGTCTGCCGTATTGCTGTTGTCTGCTATGCTCTTGTGGTCTGGCCGTGCTGGCCTGCCGTGCTGATGTGGTTTGCTATGTTCCTGTCGTCTGCCGTGCTGGTCTGCCGTGTTTGGCTGCCGTGCTGGTTTGCCGTGATGGTCTGCCTTGCCGTACTGGTCTGCTATGTTCTGGTGGTTTGCCATGCCGTGCTGGTCTGCTGTGCTGGTCTGCCGTGCTGCTGTGATCTGCTATGTTCATGCGGTCTGCTGTGCTGGTAAGCCCGCGGCAAGTTTCACAAACAAAAGCCACGCTTGCCGTTCTTGTCCGGTCAGGTTTCTGAAAAATGGTTGTTTCGCTCGAGACATCCTCAAACAATCGGGCCCGGAGGGGACTCCGAATCGACATCGTCTTGGAATCGCTCCCGGAGGGCTTTCGAACGGCCCAAAGGAGGCCCCAAAGACGCCCCGGAGGGCCCCTAGAGCGCCCAAGAGCGCCCCAAGAGAGCCCCAAAAGACCCCCAAGAGCGCTCCAGGAGTTATGAGCTACAATCGTACTTGAGGGCCACATCCCAGAAATATATTCGAGCTCCCAGAAAAGTATCGAACACGTGTCGACCAAGGATCGCCTCCCAGGGACCGACACGTGAAAACCCTCCAGTTTCGGTATTTTCTCGGTGCTCGAACTTCCTGCTGGTGGTCAAGGTTAAAGTGGGTTGGAACATCTTAATCCAGGAGGCGCCAAGACAGCTCACAAAAGCCCCCAAGGCCACTCCTGCCACGATCTGCGAGTGCGTCACGGATAGAGGCCGCGCTGAGGGACCACCCTCTGCGCACCCCCTGTGGTGTCGAGAAAGTGCCATTCTTGCCACGATCTGCGAGCATGTCACGGAGAGAGGCCGCGCTGAGGGACCACCTTCTGCGCACCCCTTGGGTGTCGAGAAAGTGCCATTCTTGCCACGATCTGCGAGCGTGTCACGGATAGAGGCCGCGCTGAGGGACAACTTTTTGCGCACCACTTGTGGTGTCGAGAAAGTGCCAGTCCTGCCACGATCTGCGAGCGTGTCACGGATAGAGGCCGCGCTGAGGTACCACCTTCTGCGCACCCCTTGCGGTGTCGAGAAAGTGCCATTCTTGCCACGATCTGCGAGCGTGTCACGGATAGAGGCCGCGCTGAGGTACCACCGTTTGCGCACCTCCTGTGGTGTCGAGAAAGTGCCATTCCTGCCACGATATTCGAGCGTGTCACGGATAGAGGCCGCGCGGAGGGACCACTTTCTGCGCACCCCTTGCGGTGTCGAGAAAGTGCCATTTTTGCCACGACCTGCGAGCGTGTCACGGATAGAGGCCGCGCTGGGGGACCACCCTCTGCGCACCCCCTGTGGTGTCGAGAAAGTGCCACTCTTGCCACGATTTGCGAGCGTGTCACGGATAGAGGCCGCGCTGAGGGACCACACTTTGCGCACCCGTTGTGTTATGTTGCGTGTGCGGTGTGCTGTGTGTGATTGTGTGTGTGTGTTTGTGTGCATCAGTGTATGTGTGTGTGTGTGTGTGTGTGTTGTGTTGTGTTGTGATGTGGTGTGCTGTATGCTGTGTGTGTGCTTTTGTGTTTGTCTGTATGTTTGTATGTGTGTATATGTGTGCTTTGAGGTGCTGTGCTGTGCTGTGCTGTGGGTGAGGGAGGA